CCTTTTATATATTTTTGCAGATTTAATGTCAACAGCCAAACGATTTTACGATCCCGAAACGAGTTGGTATTCAGAATTGTTATACGATGTGGCCAGGAAGCAGGTTATTGTTGGTGCCAGGTAAGTTTTTAGATTTCTAAGTTTGTTAAAACGAATTACCTGTAAATTGACTCACAACTCACAATGACTGTTCGCAAAGAAAAAAAACAATTATAGCAATAAGTTAACGGAAACATTAAATTTGTCAAAATACGTAATGCCCCAAACTTATCAGCCAAGGCAGCACGAATTATTGCGTACATTCTGGTCTGATAAGGCTTCTTGTTGAGATCTGGGAATCTCTGGCGAAAATCGAAAGTGCCACAGGTCTGATATAAAAACCGGTAACATATCAGCATATTTAGCTCAGCGAAATGAACACAAAGGCAACTGGAACAAGCTAAGACAAACAGAATAGAATAGAATACGCTACGGGCAACAAGTGCCAGCACAGTCAGAGATACGTACTCATAGATACAAAGATACACAAATTGTCTGCCTATTTGTTAAGCAATTTGATGCTACCCTAGCTGTTTGTATAGCCTATTAGAGGGTATGGACACAGAAAGTCTCTTAAAGTATCTATGCATATTCCGGATATGTCGGGTCGCCTAGATCGGAACACTATGTTATATAGCTTCGATAGGAATGATCGTTGGAAAGTTAAGTAAACCCTAATGTTAACGAAACTTGGCCCGAAATACTCTACCATTTGGGCAATCGCTTGACAATAAAGCCGCAAAGGGTATTTGGTCTTCGGCCTGGCAAAGATCGCTTCGCTCTTGCTGGTTCTTTTATGTGCTTAGCCAGTGTTTACTTTTCATTTGCTAGCTCAGAACTCAGAACTCCAGTCATCTTTATAAGATAAGAAGCCGCGCCGTGTCCCTACAGAGATCTTAACCCCTTGGCAGAACGTGTGCCCGTTCCGTCTGGAGTACAAATACGAATTGCCTCGTTTATCAAAATGTCGTCGCTGTTTTTCTCTTCTTTTCTTTTTAACCTGTTGTCAATCATTTGTCGCAGGTTTTTCCTTTGTTTGTTTTGCCCTCTTTCAATTTTCATTCTTTTCTCATATTCTGGCCTCGGAAGGGCAGTTGCTCTACTTAGCTCTGGCTGGGTAGATAGCCAGTCGGCTAGATAACTGCGTGGGCATATTAAATGCCCAGTTGTGGGCTTTTTTGATTGCGGTACAACTAGACCGGGTCCACTGGTCAGAGTTAGATATTGCAACAATTCCTAAGGTTTTACTCATGGCCTAATAATTCGATATAATCAGTGAAAATAATTAAATCTTTACTTAAATGGACTTTAGATACCTTCCACTGTTCCTTCTCTATTTGTCTGTAAACCTTGTTGTAATTAGGCAACAGCCTCTTGGCTAATGATCTCTACTCTTTCAGAAGTAATTCAATCCTTATAAAATTACTTTGATTAAGTTCGTGTCTCTGTTTTGTTTTTGTGTGACCTTCCTTTAGCCGCAGCCACGCAATTCCCAGTGGTTTTTTGTTTCTGCCGAAAACCACAATGTGAACCCTTTTCTAATCACAAAGCCGCAGTTTAATTGTGGCAATATTAAGCCAACTACACATTTACGATCTTGTGGTTCGGCCCATAAAAGTTGGGTAATTGTCGAGTCATTGGCATGGAATAGCTAGGCACAAAGTCCCTATACAAATACATATACATATACATATATGTTATGAGAAGCCGTTGCTCCTCGTCTGGCACTTGACACGACTGCAGGCTCCGATTACGAGCGACAAGTCCGGGACGAGCTCAAGTATGCCAACAGCTCCCATGACGTCCGACGATTGACGAGGCGATGGGGCGACGGGTCGACGGTTTGAGGGGACAACGGGGCGACGAGTTGCACGACGCGTAATTTCTGTCATGTGCAGTGCATTCGGGGTCTTGTGGCCCGAAATTTGATATAGACTGCATTAAAATAATATACCATTTTGTTTTCTGCCTCTCTTCCTTGTTTTTTTTTTTTTTCGCTAAACAACCTTTTATGGAGGTTTTCTTTTTTTTAGTTTTGGGTTTTAATTTTGTGTTTTTTTTTTTTGAAGGGGTCTTTTAGCGCTGTTGTGGCTTGGCGCAAATGGACCATGCAAATGCAACGCTGGGAAGCATTTGAAATGTTTATGCATATGACTGAACATAACCTAAAAACTACTCCAAACAGGGTTGCATTTCAAATGTTTCGATAGGCAAACAACTTTCTGTCGTAAACCTATGAAAGGGAAAGGCAAAAGTCTGCCCATTTGTAACTTCATAAACTTGTAATTTGTATGTGAAAATCTTGTGAATTTTGTTGAAATTCAGTTTAAGATAAGATATTTAATTATCTAAAGTAATATGATTTAGTAAACTAGGTTAAAATTCCAGGATTTAACTTCTTAATAAAGATAAATGTTCTTTGATCTAAGGTCTAAGCTGGAATACCCTTTTTTACACATTTTCAGTGGGTATAAAAAGTAAGGAATCATTTTGAAAGCTATCTTATGGATGGTAAATTTCTCTTAAGCTTTCTACACTTAACTATCTATTGAATTGGACATTCGGTTTGAACTAAACATTGATATTCTCTAGTAGAAAGTTCCTATTCAAAAAAGTAAAATAAATACTCTAATTTTGTTGTTACAAATTGTTATTTAAAACACTTTAGACAATTCCCCATTGAATTGTTTGAGGAAGCAAATACCAAATTTGCCATTTGGTTTATTTTTATTATTATTCATTTTTTTTTGGCTTAAATGTAGCCAAATTTGGCTGTTTGAAATCTGGGCACAAACTTCACGTGACAGACGCTAAGAGGCTGACAGTCAGTTAAGGCGGCTACTGTAAGCCGAAATTGAAATCAAAATCAAAATGAATCAAAGCAAAACCATGTTAAGTAAAACAGCGCACACATTGCAATAGGGGGGCGTTTTGCATATTTCCATTGAAAATGCCAACAAATAGAAAAAAATGCTAATAGTGGAGCAGTGGAGCAGTTTTGAGTTTGAGAGCAAGGAATGCGCTTGGCGTAGGCAGTGCCAATGCTGAAATTCATTGCAGTCTATTGCAGGTTTTTTTTTTCTTTTCTTGCCAGATCTTAACGGAGCAACGGGCAGCTTTTTAATTACAAGCAATCCGCCAGCCCGTCGATCGCCGCGAGCTGTCGCCAAACAGGCGCTAGACGAACGCCCACGCGCTCCTCCGCTGGAGCAGCGCCGTTCCCAGCTGGACAGACGGCGCCATAGTCCAAGCCGCCATAGTCCAACTGCGACTGCACCACTTGGTGGTGCGCTGTACAAAAAGGCCTTTTTGTTATCTTGTCGCGCTTGTCGCTCAAAACTTAGCCACGGCGCAAGGTGTGCGAAAATTGTGAATGCAAATGCGCACAGTAAATCCAAGTAAATGAAATATCCGCCAAAGATACAGATACAGATACAGATACATTTACAGACAAAGATACAGATACAGTTACAGTTACAGCGACATGCTCTCAGATACAGATTGCGGCACGTAACGCACTTGTCGGACAAGGCACAGCCACGCGCCGCTTCTGTAAATGGGTCAAATCTCTTGGTCCAAGGAGTTTCACAATTTGGTCATGCAATGGAGGATGTATCTTTGGGTTGAGAAATTGTCTATACATCTTTTGAAACAGCAACTGAGGATAGATATTACAAGATTGTTTTACTTTCCAATACCCTTTAAATCGGAACTCCAGTTATAATTCGCAACAAGTTTAGGCTTTGGCAAAGCAAAGCTGCATTTTGTTCAATTCTTTATCCCATCAAGATAGAATTAGCTTGGATCTTGTTGCATCTCAAACCAGGTCGTAACTCAATTTCAGGCATGCCTGAGAAATCTGTGGAGTGCGTTGTTCAACACAACAAATACAACACATGAAACGATTCGCAACACTTTTCCCACTTGCTCGTATTTGCACGCACGCGCCCGTTTAGAGATAACGATAGCGCGAAAAGAACTTAAACCAATACAAAGTCGAATGAAAGAAAATAAAAAACAACTGACAAAACGGTAAGCAAATATTTGCAAAAAGCAAAATGCAGCGTAAATAACAAAAATACAAATTAAAAGAAAACGTACAAGAGGTAGGCCAGAGCAGAAAACATGTGTATCGACTTTTCACACCTCAAATGTGGAATTTGCCAGCTTCGAAGCGAGTCGAAAGATAAAAACTTGAAAGCGACCGAGGGGGGGGGGAGAGTGGAGGGGGGAGGTGCGCTGTTTGAAGGCAATGCTAATTTGCAAGGCCGTTCGTTATCGCTGCTGCTGCTGCCGGAGAAATGGAACACTGAACTCTACAAATTCACATAAGTGTAGAGTTTACGCTAATTATAGACTCTACATTGCGTTGAATTGGAGCCTGGCATGATTTAGTTCATTTGAATAGTTGGCAACTTATAAAACTCTACAAATTCACATGAGTGTAGAGTTTAGACTCCACATTGCGTTGTATTAGAGCCCGGCATGATTTAGTTCATTTGAATAGTTGGCAACTTAAAATACCAAGTTTTAGTATATTTTCCAAATTAATAAACATGATATTTATTTTGTTATATATATATATGTGTATATATTTTAATTTTAACGCCCATGTTTTGGCAACTACATTTTCACTTATTATGGCGGTACTTGCCCCGTTAAAAAAAAACAACAATAACAACAAGCGTTACAACTGTACACAATCAGCAATAATTGAATTTTGCAGCCGTTAAGTCTGACTGCAATTTGTACGCCCTTTTTTTCTTTGCACGTTTGCCATTTTTTTCATTTTTTGCTACGCGACATTTGTCACGTCATTTTCACATGTCGATTTCCGCTGAACCTAACCCAACTTTTGCCCTGCACTCTGCCGTAAGTTGGGAAAGCACTTGAGTCTGATAATAAGCAGAACTTAGAAGGCTTTGGCTTTTGGCGCAATCAAACGAATTGGCACTAGAAAGTGTACTTTATTCTTGTTTATTGACACACTCGAAGCTTATCATAACCTTACCCAACACTAGCCTCTGTACAGTTACCCATAAAAGGCAGCGTCTGTTCGCGGGAAGTCGGTTCGCCTTGAAATAAATAACGTTAGATTACCGAGCATTATATCAACTTCTTAATATCTTAGATTACGTGTAATTAAATGTGATGTAAAGGTTAAAATATTTAATACCTTTTGCTGTCAACTGGCCATACTTGCTCCGCCTTGCCATTTGCTGTTGTTAAAATTGAATGCCTTCATTTAAATAATGGCAAAACTAAATACATTTTGCATCTGCCAACGCGATGTTATCGGGACACACACCTTTTGTGCGGCACACTCCAAACGAAGTCGTTGACAGCTGCGCTTTGGGGAAGGGCGTCTGTCGAAGTCGGCTTATGCGAATGTTGGGCCTGTTTATGTTACCTCATCGGCACGTACCGCAGAAGTCGCACAACACGCAGCGGCTCAGGTTACCACCTGAGAGCTGACAGCCAGGTGCCCTGGTCAGAGCCACGCTCCACGCTCCACGCGCCACGCGGCAGCTGCGTTTGACTGATTGATATTGGGCGAGCGCTGGCAGTCGATCCGGTCCGCATAGTCCCACATTGGCCAATGCAGCAGCCATTCTTCTAAGCCGCTAAACTGCATCAAATGTTCGTTAGTGAAGTTGTCCAAAGCTGTCCAAAGCCAACTGTGGGCTGCTGGCGACGACGACTCTGGCGACGTCTGGTCGGCGGCATTCCTTCAAGCGAATTCTAGCAGCAAATGCTGTCCAGCTATAGCTCGAGATGTAACCATTTATCTGTCGCTAGCCGCATTCGTATGCACTTGATCTATTGATCTTCGTATTTGTTATGCCAAATACGTGTAAGCACAGTGGTTGCCGTGCTTTGCACAGTGGTTTAAGTTATGGAAACACAGAAAATAACTTTCGGTCAGCTGTGAATGACAGTCATATGATATTGCTATTGTTAAAACAAATTGGGAATTATAAGAGAAATGTGCATGTGTGCGCCTTGCGAACTTTGAAGAGAATTAATTATTTAAATAGAATTAATTGTTTAATTATATAATTAGATTATTGATTATTTAACAAGATATTTATTTATTTGATTAGATAATTAATTATTTGATGATCGTTTATTATTTAATTAGCGAATGAATTATATAATTAGCGAATTAATTAATCAAAGATAATTAATTGTTTAATTAAAGAATTAATTGTTTATAGAGAAATAATTATGTAATTAGAGAATTGATTATTTATTAAGACATTTAATTAGAGGGTTAAATGTTTGAATATCTAAAAAAATAATTATTTAATTATTTGAAGATAATTAGTTAGATTATTTAATGAGAACAAATTATTTAAAGAGAATTAATTATGTAATTAGAGAATTAATTGTTTTACTAGGGAATTAATTAACTATTTAAGGAGAATTAATTGTTTATCTCCCACATTCGGCCTATCTTTTAATATTTTTCACTTGGCATCACACAATTTATTCCAAGCAATGAATTTGTTAGATACTTTTATTAACTCGGCTCGGCTAACGGCTGCTTATCTTAATTGAACTTCTTGCAACGGTTGCCTAATGTGGCACTAAAGCCATAATTCCAATTCGTTCATCTTGTTTAGAGCCCACATGCGACGCCTACAAGCGCAGCTCAGTCAAATGTCAGTCGAGTGGCGACCACTGTGCCTGGCCAGGTCTGTTTGTCTTTACCTGTTTGCCTTGCAGTTCAATGCACCGGGCAAGCGGGCAACCAGTTGGGAATTATGACAACTGGCCGTGGGGCAGGGCTGGGCAGGGGGAGCATCTAGGCCGCGGCGCGGACTGGGCAGGGGTTGGGGTTTTTTTTTTTTGTAATCGCTTGTGGGCCGAATTTAGCTGTTACCATTGGCTATGTACTCGGATATATTTGCAAGATTTTATTGACTCTTTGCAGAGACACCTTGTACCGCATGTCTTTCGAGCTGGAGCCGCTGGAGCGGGCCAGCTGGGAGGCGACGCCTGGGAACGTGCTGCTGTGCCAGCAGAAAGGCCAGTCGGATCGCTGGTGTCGCAACTATGTGCGCGTGCTCCACAGCTACGGTGAGAACCAACTGTACGCGTGTGGGACGAACGCCTTCCAGCCGAGCTGCTCGTGGCGCCAGGTGAGTGGTCGTCGTCGTCGACGACTCTGACAGCCCAACAGCTGCCACAAACTCAACTCTTGTATTTATATGGTGTGTTTCTTTTAACTCTTCTGCAGATGGAAAATCTCAACGTCACCCAGTTTGATGATGGCGTGGTCAAGTGCCCCTTTCATCCGCAGGCGAACAGCACCAGCCTTCTGCAGTCCAATGGCAACATGTTTGTGGGCACATCCGCGGACTTCTCCGGCAGCGATGTGGCCATTATACGCACACCCGTCCAGTCCAATGGGGTAGGTTTATCTATATATATACAAGTATATATACATAGTATACATTCATATAGATATGTTGTATACACAACATCCTGTTGCAACTCTCTAATCCCTTTTACTTTGCTTTCCGGCAGTGGCAAATTTATTTTTTACTATTATTTTCCGAAACTCTGCGACTCTCTCTCGAAAATTATAAACCGATTGCTGCTGTTGTATTTGTAATCGATTTATAATTGTAATCGATTGTGTCTGTCAAAATTATTATGCTTATCGATATAATTCAAATCGATTGCGGCTGTCAACTCTTATCGATTGTGCTTGTCAAAACTGATATAAATCGGCTTTTGAAAAGAGTTTCCCGATATGTTTCACGATTCTGTCGAAAATGAAAAATATATAATGGAGAGCTTGCTTAAATGTCCTGGCAAAACTTCAAACTGATTTTAAAGTATTTTAAGCATATGATATATAACATGGTCATGATCACTCCACCTAAACGAGACCCAACTACATCCAAATGAACTTCTCTATCTACCATTGACTATCTTCCTCGTAGCCCATCCATATCTTCTCTATACGGCTCTACTCCTATTCCTACTCGATCTTTTAAGCTTTTTTAAACCCGCTTCTCCTTGATCTTCTAGGAACGCAAGCGTTTCCTGCGCACCAAGCAATACAACACCAATTGGCTAAATGGCGCCCAGTTTGTGGGCAGCTTTGAGGCTGGCAACTTTGTGTACTTTCTGCTGCGCGAATCTGCCGCGGAGCACATGAGCTGCGGCAAGGTAAGAGATCGGATCAATTGGCAAGCGATCGATTTATAATATATACCCATTTCTCTATTTAGGCGATCTACTCGCGCATTGCACGCGTCTGCAAGAACGATGCTGGCGGGGATCAGGTGCTGCGCGACAATTGGACCTCGTTTCTTAAGGCGCGTCTCAACTGCTCGTTGCCCGGCGATTATCCCTACTACTTCGACGAGATCCAGGGCATGACATATGCCGAGTCGGAGCATGTGCTCTACGCCACCTTCAGCACGTCGGGGTAAGCGACGAGAACAGTCTGTTGATCCAACATTTAATTAATATTCGCCAAATTTTCCTCAGCTCGAGCATCTTTGGATCCGCCGTCTGCGCCTACAATTTGAGCTCAATCAATGCGGCATTCGAGGGCGCCTTCAGGCATCAGGAGCACGCGGATGCGCCATGGAAAACAGTGAACACGCCGCAACGGAGTCAGTTCCAGTGCGCCAGCGGTGCAACAGCCTTTGGCCACCTGCTGGAGAGTTCGCGGTATCAGCTCATGGATCAGGCGATACAGCCGATTGGGGCGCAGCCGCTGTACCATTCCCGGCTGGAGCGGTTCAAGCACATTGCCTTGGACATTGTGCTGACCCGGACGGAGCAACTGCATGTGCTGTATGTGTCCATCAGCGACAACCACATCAAGAAGCTGTCGGTCAAGTACGGCCAGCAGCAGGGCAAGACGCAGACGTGCCTGGTGGAGATGTGGCAGGCGGACGATACGGGCAGCAGCATTCTGTTGCACATGTCCTACCTGAAGGTCACGGAATCGATCTATCTGGGCACGGATCTGGCCCTAACACGCATACCCGCCCAGCGTTGCAGTCGTCATGTCTCGCAGTCCAGTTGCCTCAATGCCATGGATCCGTACTGCGGCTGGAATGAGCTCGTCGAGCGCTGCACGCCATTCGATCCGGCTGGGCAGCAGCCCTGGCTTCAGCCAGCACAGTTTAGCTGTCCGGTGCTGAATGCGCCCATCGATGGCGGCTGGTCCAGCTGGTCGCCATGGGCCGAGTGCCAGCAGCACGAGCAGCCGGACAGCAGCTGCTTGTGCCGACAGCGCAACTGCAACAATCCGCAGCCGCAGCACGGCGGCGTTGCCTGCGAGGGCATCAGCACCCAGGTGACCAATTGCACACAGCACGGCGGCTGGACTGAGTGGTCGACGTGGTCGCCCTGCTCGCAGACGTGCGGCATTGCCGTGAAGACGCGTCGCCGCACTTGCGGCAATCCGCGACCCGCACACGGCGGTCGCATGTGCCTGGGACCCGAGCATGCCGAGATGTACTGCAGCCACCTGCCGCCGTGTCCCGTGGCCAAGCCGCCGCCCATTGACGGCGCCTGGGGACCCTGGGGCGAGTGGAGCGAGTGCAGCGCCCAATGCGGTGGCGGCTTCCGAATGCGCCGGCGCGAATGCGACGATCCCAAGCCCCTGAACGGCGGCATGGACTGCCCCGGCTGCCGACTGGACTACGAGGACTGCAATATGCAAAGCTGCGCCGAGGTGCGCAAGCTCAGCGCCTGGACACCCTGGCTAACGTCGGCCGGCGGCAATAACACGGACGCGCATGTCGAGAAACGCTATCGCTACGCCTGCCGAGCGACCAGCGCCGATGCCAGCTCGGTGCGCATCAGCCTGGCCAAGGAGGAGACACGCAATTGCAACCAGGACGGCAGCTGTCAGCGGCACAACGAGCATGACAGCTCGGCGGAGCCCGACTCCGAGTGGTCGCCCTGCAGCGCCAGCTGCGGCGGAGGCACACAGCTGCGTCGGCGCGGCCACAGCACACAGAGTCGCGTCTGCAATCTACACGCTTGTCCGGCGGACGAGCAGCCGGACAATAGCATTGACAATCAGTTGGAGCACGAGTGGAGCTGCTGGTCGGAGTGGTCCAGCTGCTCGGTCACCTGCGGCCTGGGCGTGCGCAGGCGCACACGCAAATGTCTGGGCGGCCACGAGAGATTCTGTGCGGGACGTGCGCTCGAGGAGCAGCAGTGCGCGATGGTGCCATGTGAAGGTAAGCTAGCTTAGCCAGGAGTTCGAAGTGTAGCTGACTCATGTCCATAATTGCAGACTTTCTCGGCTGGAGTGAGTGGAGCGAGTGGTCATCCTGCTCCAGCGATGGCATACGCCTGCGTCATCGCCGCTGTCTAGTGGAGCAGCCAGCTGCCGCGGAGTGCCGCGGTGCCGAATTCGAGAAGACCGCCTGCGTGCCGGGCGAGTGTGAAGGTAAGCTCCACACTAGTACCAACATTTGGATGGGTTTCATTAATGCACCCGACTTCTCTGCAGAGCTGCAAAGTGCCTCGAGCGCAACTCTGCCCATTGTCATTGGCTGCTTTATGCTCCTAACTGCCGCCTGCTGCCTGGCCACATATCATTTCACACGGCGGCGTTGCCTGCAAAACGTCGAGGAGGCGCTCAACAAGACGACCACGACGACGGCCAGCTTCGACTCGTATCCCAATCAGTATTCCAGTCTGCCCACCAAGGATGTAAGTGCTTAGTCGCGAGTCCCTCCAATTGCAGACCAAACTAATATGCCTACTTTCCAGTACTATGATCAGCGACCCAAGCGACAGTCCAGCTTCCGCATGCCCGCCAAGACAAGCAACTTATCCGTCGGCGGCGGCGTTGGGGGCGGCGGCACGCTAAACCGGAACAATATGCACCACAACAACACGCCCAAGGTGCTGGCCAAGACGTACAACGATTGCGAGACGGGAACGCTGAAGCGTCAGTCGGCGCTCAACAATTGCCGCACAAACATGGACGACGAGAAGTTTTAGCCAAGGATCTGAACAGCCCCGAACAACCCAAGTGCCATTGTTGCCTTGTGCAATCCAAATGGATTTGTTGGACCGACAACGACGACAACGAACACATTTTGCACGGCCAGCCTGCAAAAACGTTCCTTCTCTGACTCATATTGAGTCCTTCTATTAGCCTAGTTATAGATTAAGTTAGTCCTAAAATCAAATCGATATATTTCAGGTAAATAGTTTGATCAAATTATGACAATACTTGACTTTTATGTGTACAAATATTATTTAATCAAATTATTTACCTGGCCCGCAATTACAATGTAATTGGCTTTTAGTGCATATGAAAGCGAGACTGAAATTTAAATTTTTTCTGCGGAAATTTGACCCATCCAAAATTAATGTTGTCTAGCATACGTGTTAAATACGTATAAATTATCATCGTGTTAAGTTCTATGTTGTTAAGTTAGGACTTTAGGGTTTAAATATTTTAAGCATAAAGTTTTTATAAAATATAATGTGAATTTTACTAACCAATAGGTTCTTATACTTGCTTTGCCCAGGTGTCTCAAACAGACCCTGAAAATCATCTACTCTAAAGATCATTTTCGATCTAAGAAATCATTTTATACAAATTCAGAAAGAGATGAAATTTGAGATTTTGCTTTGTGGTTTGTGTCTTATCTATATTAGGAGTTTCAGTTTTTCCGAATGGCTTGAGTCCTCTCTATTTTAAAAGTTGTCTTGTCGTAGTGAGGACGCAAACCACGCACCACGAAAGTAGGCAACATATTTTTGTGTGGCTCGCCACGAAGTATGCAACATTTTTTGGAGTGAAATATGTTCAATAAAGGTTGATCTTATAAATTCGTATATATTTTATTAAGCAAATGTAAACTTAATGTATATATTTATTACAACTATTTTTTACATGCGTAAAGAAAAAGAAAGAATACAAAATAATTTTTTAAATTAATCAAATTTCCAAAGGCAATAAATAGAAACACAGTTAAGAGCTAGTTCTAAAATTAGAAAGTTAAGATTGTGATTCGAATTCGTTTCAACAAAGGACATTTACAAATCGGTCATCTCCTGCTGAGATTCGTAGACGGCACTGGCACCGGCACCGGCTCCGTTTCCGATACCGACTCCGGCGCCTGCCAGCTTGCCAGCGCATTGATCCTCGCTGGTGATGCGCGTGAGGAGCTCGGCTTGGATACGCTTCAGGACTTCAACGACCTCGCAGAGGACTCCACTTTGGGCCGCCTGTTGCATGGCTTCATTGGCATCGACAAGCGCCTCGTTAAGTGCGCCCAGCTCCATGCGCGCCTTGGCCCGGGCATAGTAGCCCTCGTAGCTGTGCGGCTTCTGCAGTATGGCTTGCGTGGCCAAATCTATGGAGGCGTCAAGTTCCTGTAAAGCAATCAAAGATTAGAGAGAGAAATGAATCCAGAGCGGGGCATAACTTACATTCAGTTTTCGCTTGCAGCGCGACAGATTCAGCAGCAGATTTGTGCGCAGCTGGGCAAATACGGCATTCCGCTCGAGCAGCTGCTCCAGGCCGGAGATCTTGCGCAGCGCATACTGATAGCGATGGGCGGCGTCCTGGAAGCGATTTTTGCGGTACAGCACATTGCCATCCTCGAGCAATTTGTTGAGCAGCACGACCAGAATCTCCGGCTTGCCCATGGCCATGCTCCAAGTGGTGGGTCCCAGTTTGGCACCCTTGCGCAGAAACACCTGCACCGCCTGTATATTGCGGCAGGCGATGGAACGATCCAGCGGCCGCATGCCATGCACATCGATGTGCTCCAGATTAGCGCCCTGCTCCAGCAAATAGAGCACCAGACTGGCCGCGCCCTGATACGCGGCCAGATCCAAGGCGGTGCGTCCTTTGTGATCCTCGTGCTGTCGATTGCAGCCGTGCTCAATGAGGCACCTGGCCGCTGCCAAATGGCCGCGCAGGCATGCCCAGCTCAGCGCGGTGAAACCCTCATGATCCTCGGCCTCCAATGTGGCGCCACGTGCCAGCAGCAACTCCAGCAGCTCCAGATGTCCCTCCTCGGCGGCGATCATCAGCGGCGTTTTGCGCGCCTGACCCAGCGGCTCGTCCAGCAATGCGCCGCGCTGCAGCAGCTGCTCTACCACGCTCCAATGGCCCTCCTTGACGGCCAGCCAGAGGGCCGTATAGCCCTGACGATTCCGTGCATCGATTTGGGCGCCACGCGACATCAGAATGTTGACCGCATCCGTGCAGCCGTGTCGTGCGGCTGCCGTCAGCGCCAGCTCGCCGCTGCTCGGCTCCAGGCCGTTCACATTGACGCTGAGGTCGTCCAGTTCGTGCTCGTTGAGATCCAGCAGATCCTCGAGTATTTTGACATGCGCCTGCGCAGCCGCACCAATGAGCGCCTGCTGCAGAGCCAGCGAACGGCCCACATCCTGGGAGCGTGGGCGCGGCGACCAGTCGCAGGCCAGCAGATACTGCACCACACTGAGATGACCCATGCGTGCGGCATGGACTAGAGCGCAGCGTTGCGTCGTGTCCAGCTGGCCCAGGCTGCTGCCGGCGGCAACCAGGCGGCGCACCACATCGCAGTGGCCGCGCATCGCGGCCAGAATCAGGGGCGTGCAGCCCTGGCTGTTGGTCAGACCGACATCGGCGCCAAACTCCAGCAGCAGGCTTACCATGGGCAAGATGCCCTCGTGGGCGGCAATGCACAAAATGGGCGCATCGCCCATGTAGTCGGTGCGATGATCCGGCGACGCGCCCGCGAGCAGCACCAACCGGGACACCTTCACATTGGGACTGTAGACGTTACGCAGTGCGCCCAAAGCGGCGGAGATGTTGTCGGCGGCGCCCGCCAGCCAATAGGATTGCAGATCACGCGGCGAGAGCGCCGCCTGGCTGCTGCTATAGAGATGCGCCTTGAGCATGTGATGGCCCAGCTCGAGCGTTAGCTGCGGCTGGAGCGGCGCCTGCAGGCGGGAGAGCCGGAAGGCGATGCCCGCATGGCCCAGCCGGGCGTCGCAGAGAAACTTGCTGGACTCGCCCTCATCCCGGCGCATGAGCCACTCGCGCAGCGAGCTGTGAAAGAACATGTACGTGTTGTCCAGCCGCTTGATAAGGAAGCCGTCGAGCAGCTTGAAGCGCTGCATGAACTGCGGCCAGCTGAGCGGCTCCTGGCCATGCTGCAATGCCTCCATGCTATAGTAGATCTCGTCCAGCGTGAGCGGATAGAGCGCGGCCAGGCAAACGTTGAGTATGGGCGCTGTCTGCTCAAAGCTGCGCGCCGTGGGAAAGCGCAAATTAAAGTGCAGCAGAAAGATCTGGGCCAGTGAGACGGGCAGCACCTTGTAGCTGGAGGATTTGATTACCAGCTGGCCGCGCGAGATCAGATCCAGTATGAGCTTGGCATACAGCATGGAGCCGCGAGTCAGCGACTGCAGATGTGACACGAACTTGGCCTGCGACTGGGCCAACTGGCCGCCAATATTGTGCTGAATCTCCGGACAGTGGGCAATGCGTGCATTGATGTAGTCCAGCATGTCCTGCTGCAGGGCCTGGCTGCTGGCCCAGCTGTCGAGCGTGAGCTGCGTATAGCTGGGTGCCTTGACCAGCTCCAGCATTTGGGTGCGCACCGTGGCGACCAGCTTGAGCCAGGCGGGAAAATGCGGCGACAGCTGGGCCAGGAAGCTGGCTATGGTATGGCCATGATCCGGCCGATGGTACTCCGCCTCGCACAGTGCATCCACCAAAATGACGGCCACCTTGGCGGGTATCTTGCCAGCGCGATGCAGCTGAGCGAGCGGCTCCAGTATGGCCAGGCGCATCACACGCTCCGCATCCGCAATGCACTCACGCACGCTCAGTATGTCCTGGAGATGCGGCTCCGAGAGCAGATAGTCACGGTACGCGGTCAGCTGCGGCGCCTGGCACAGCTGGGCGGCCAGCGAGTGCACAAAGTCCGGCACCTGGCAGGTGAGATTCGCGTCCGCCTGACAGAAGTGATAGCCGACCATGTGCGAGGCCAGGCCGCGCATGCGCTCGTTCTGTGCGCCCAGCTGGCTATAGATGGCATCCGCATCCTCCTGCTGCTGCGCCTGCATCTGACGACGTCCAAAGCACGAGTACTCTACCAGCTGCAGACAGAAGGCGGTCTTGCCCGTGCCCGGCTGCCCATTGATGAGCACCACGCGCGTCTCCGTGCCCAGCAGTATGTTCGCCAGCTGCTGCACCAGCCACTGCCGGCCCACATACGGCGGATCGGGCTCCTGCAGCGGCACCTCAAAGAACAGTGGCTTCAGCGCCAGCTGCACTGCTGCCAAGGCCGCTGCTGCCGCTGCCCGCTTATTGACGACGCCGCCCGTTCCGGCTGCTCCAGCTGCCGTGCCCGCGGGCAACTGTTGGGCGCGCGTGGAACGCCGTGCGGCGCCCTTGCGCATCTTGCCCGGCACTGGCAGGGGCAACTGTTCGTAGGGATGTTCCTGCAGGGCGCAGCCCATCTTGAATTTGCCGCACAGGCTCAGCGCATCGTCCTTGTGGGAGGTGGCCACTGACAGCTGACTGCCGCTCAGCCCGACGCTGGCCAGCTGCGACTCGGGACTGATATGTTGCGAGGAGCTGCCGCTGACGCTCCCATTGCCGCTGCTGCTGTTCGCCGTGGTGCTGACCCCAGCGCTGCTCGAGATGCTGGTCGACTGCATCGTCGAGTTGCCATTGTGGTCGCCGCTGCCGCCGCCGCCCCCGCTGCTGCTACTGCTGCTGCTGCTGGTGGTGGTATTGGTGTTCGTGTTGCTGTTGCTGTTGTTGTTGTCGTTCAGCAACAGGCCCAGGCGGGCGCGCAGCTGATCCTTCTGCTGCAGCAACGAGTGCGGATGGTGTTCAATGCCCAAGGTGTCGCTGCCTGCGGTATAAGCCAAAAGTATGTGGGTGAGTACCATCAAAAATACTGATAAACTTCACATTATCAACATGTAAACATCGTGCAATTAAATGGGAGGTGGTCGATAAATATAAATAACAGCAATATCAATAAATAACAAATTTATGCATCTAAAAATGTTAAATGATCTTCCTGTTATTACGAGAAAATGTTACTGCAATTAGCTGTCGCGCAATAACATTACACCTCACATTAACATTCTCATTTTAGCATTTATGGTAAACGCCTGTTGATCAATAACATGTAGTGAAATGTAAAGATCGAGCAAAAGAGAGGTTAAAATTAAATGGGGGGTGATACATAAATATATAGAACAGGAATGTTAATAAGTAAAATATATATATGCTTTTAAATGAGCATCTAACTCGCAATAGCATTAACAGCCTCACATTAACAGTCTCATTTTAGCATTTATGTTAAAAGCCTGTTGATCAAAAACATGTAATAATAATTTAAAGATCGAGCAAGAGAGAGGTTAGAATTGAATGTGAGTCGATCAGATTGACAATTATTATAATTATTTAATAACAATTATAAAAATGTATAGGTTTAATCGAAAATTCCTTTTATTATGAGTTAATTTGATATTCCCCCGAAACTGTGGAAAATTGATGCAAAAAAGGGTTATGTTAAACTAAGTGTTTACCATCCGATCGGTTTTAAGTTGAGTAAGACATTTATGTAAATTCATTGAAGAGTAATTTCAGAATTTTCGAAAAATCGGAAAGTGAAAAATGTGAACAGATCGAATTAAACTAAACTAAAATGTAATTTGCCCACTCGGGCTTAAGCTAGTTTGGGTATATTTTAATTTCGGACAGACAATATCTCATTAGGCAAATAATGAGTCTATATATTAGCGAGTCAGCAAATCTCAAAAAAAAGTTGCCATGCAAAGTATTAACAGAGTAGAATCGAGCCAAATTGAATGCCATGCAAAATGTACAACAAATAGAAGAAGTCGAGTCCGGCGAAAGTGGACGCCATGCCTGCTAGTTGATTGAGTCCCGCTTCGCTTGAGTTCGATGAATTGACGCTCCACAGGGATTTGATCAGAGATTTGATCGAGGTGCCGGCCAAACTGAGCCGATTCAGTCGATTCTCGCTGTTGGCGCCATGCTCCGCGGATGTCTTCAGATTGTTGTTGCTGAAGTTCTTGCGACGACGTCGCGTGACCGCCGAATCCGAGCAGGTGGAGGTATTTAGGGCGTTCGACTCCTTGCCACTGCCCGTATGCTGGCGACGATGATGATGATGATGATGATGCGAATGATGATCTAAAGGATTACGATTGGCGCAAGCGGAAGCGTATAAGAAATGTGCAAAGCTTATTTACCAACTAATCTTGTTGTGCTTAAGAGGAACTGAGTATGTGTGCATCCCAACACCTGAGCTGGATGTGGCTATGACTAGAACTTACCGCCCGACAGCATCGATGCTGTGTCCAGCGGACAGCCGCCATTGGAGGCAGTGCGTCGGTGTCCGGTGAGCGCGCTGCGCAGATTCTTGTGATTGAAGAAACGCCGACGCGTTGGCGGCGTGGCAAATGCCGGAGCCCCATTCAGATCGCAGTACGCCAAATGCAGATTGTTGCTGTTGCCAGCTGTGTGTTGCTGCTGCTGCTGCTTGCTCGGGCCACTGTGCTGGTGTATGTCGACAGTGACGGTGTGTGTGTTGCCAGCGATCCCATGGCTGTTGCCATTGGCATTGCCCGTTGCACGCGGCAATTTGCCAATGCTCGCATAGCGTTGATAGTCCGGCGACTGCGACTCCTGACGATGCTGCTGCAATGCGAATGAGGAAACATGAGCTGACGGGGGTCTATAACTAGTGTGTGTGTGTGTGTGTGTGTCGGGCTTATCAATGATGAAAGTTCTCCACGCGGTTCACAAATATTAAACATGCCAGACCCAGGCCAGACCAGACCCAGGCCCGACTCAGGCAGAATGCGAGCGCTAAATAGAAAGGCGTTGCGCATTGATTAGTCATATGTTTTCTGAGTGATCTATGCTCCAGGGTGTGGATCAGGTCTGCGAGGTGGAAAGCGCAGCAAGACCTAAAGCTAACAAGACAAGGGAGTACGAGATAGGGACAGAGCGATAGAAATGTGTGGAATATTGAAAATAACTTATAAGGTGAATATACACCCAACATATGTATATATATGAAAACATGTCGAACCTTATTCTAGATCTACTAAATCTGTCTATTATATATGTAATTTATGTCTATTCTAGGAAAGGAGAAGCATCTCCTCTGCCAGGCCAACCAGTCACTCATTTTTAAGCACGTCTTTAAACAACTTTTAATGAATCAGTTATATGTTTCGTTCCAGCTTAGATCTAAAGAATAGAGACTATATCATAGAGATATTCAGGAAATACTTTTTGATGGGCTAAATAATTGGTAATTTTTTACCCATTTGAATTACCTTAAACTACTTAAGGACCCTTGGTCCTTAAGAGACAGAAAGTTCTCGACATACATTGAATTACCTTAAACTACTTAAGGACCCTTGGTCCTTAAGAGACAGAAAGTTCCTTCGACATAGCTCACCATGTTCTGAGTTCTTCATGTTCATATAATATATAGATGTTTGTCTCGCTAGGGATACCTTTTCCTGATGTAATACCCATTGCATTGCCAATTAGGATCGCATTTGCATCTCGTATAACGCTTTGCGTTTTTACTCAACTTCTCCTGTTCCCAATCTTTTTACCCGTGTACTCTTGACAGCTCTATCAAGTCTGGTCTGGCGGTCACTGCCTTGACTATTCCAACCTGATCCCATCTGTGCCAACCCACATTTAGTTTGTCCATCTAGTCCTTAGATCACCTCTTCAACCTGGCCAACCTACTCAACTGCCAAGGCTTGTTCGACTTCCTACTCGTGACAATCTGCTAGAATCCACTTGAAAGTCTGTGCAAATAACTGAACATGATCATCATCATGATCAACATGGACCTCATCATGATCGTCAGCAATATAATTATGTCTGTCTGACTGTTGGCTTGTCGCGATCTGTCCGATTAGCTGGAGGAGCTGTTGGCGTTAATCGTGAGCTCCAGGCAAATGTGTCCAGTCTGCGCCTTATCGAGCGACGTCTGCGTTGGCCGGACACCAGCCAAAAGTCCATCTCACTCAAATGCAGCGTCTGTCAAGTGTATTTAGTGACCGTTCCGCCAGTGCCTTAGTCATCGTAGATGCAGTCTGGAGTCCCCTCTCCCCTGTCTCCACCCCCCTTTCCACAGTCCTCTTGCCTGTCTGGGGGCTTCGCGTCTTAATGAACCGCAAATCATTTTGTGTCTGCGTTGGTTTTGTATTTTGTATTTTGCTTTTTTTGTTTGCTCTTGGAGCAGCCTAAGCTGGACCAAAACGTGACCAGAACCCGTTCCTTGCCGCCTTTTGCATTGTGTGGGATAATAAGTTGAAATTGGTTAGCTTCGGCACGGGGTACATTAATTGAGGGGCCAGCCAGCCATGGAGGCAGGTGAGCTTGAAGTTTCGTTGAGGATAAATTTGGTTTGCCTTTTAAGTTTTTGGTTGCGGATTTAATTGAAACTCGCAGATGCTCGACCGGAGTCTGTGTGTGTGATAGCATCGCAAGATTGTTAAAGGAATCACAGACAGTTGTGCCTGTTGGAAGTAGAATATAAATACGGCCAAGCAGATGCAAATCGCTTTCTAGAATGAAGGCAGCTAGCTGTCAACTCCCACGGATGCTGGAAAAACTTGTCGCTGTTTTGCCCACTTCCGCTGCAGTCTACCCACTGTGCCACCTGTCCAGCCTCTCTGTCTACCTGTTCCCGTCTGAGCAACTTTTGATGTGCTCATCTTACAGTCCAGGCCAGAGTGTTCCAACCGTCAGACGGGCGACCTATCGATCCGCAGTTGGAGTAATTAAGTTCCGGCTCATTTCGATACGCAGCGATTCGTTTCGCCGCACACACACACACACACACACTCGAGGAAAGCCTTTCTTTAAACTAGTTCGCAATGCTTTTCTCCTGCCACCCCCTTTCTCGTAGTCTCTGTGTCTTATCGCTGGCCTCCCCGCGGTGGCTTTTTAATTGGCCACATCATTTTGATTAAGTTGTTGCTTGAAAATTAATTAACAAATTATGCCTGCCATCGCATTGGAAATTGAAATCTCTAGTATATGTTGTCCAGCAGCGCTTTAAAAAGTGATTTTCACTTTTCTACAACACACACACACACACACACAATTTGCTGCTGCTGCTGCTGCGAGATTGTATTATCATCATAAATACTCGTATGCATGTAGTTTTTTCTTTTCTTCTTCTTATTTTAAGTGAGAGGTGTTGGAATGCTGCACTCTAGTGTGATCTGCATTAAGCGAAGATCAGGCGATCATTGAACCAGGGATCCGCAATTGTAGATAGATCCCACATATTGTAGATATGACTACCATTTCCCATATTCACTTTTTTATTAATTATAAAATACTTCCCTTAACTTCCTGTTCAGCTTAGCTAAAGCTTACTCCGGCTGCATAGTTAGACTTAGACATAGACCAAACCCTGAACCAATCGCCGCACAAAATGTAATAAATTGTCAAATGATTTAACAAACTGTTAGCTGCGCCCATTGTTGTGCAGCGGAGCCCCTTCTAGCACCTAACCTTAAGACAAAGGCACAACTGCGACAACCTTTCACACGAAATGTCGAGTAGAACCAATTCGGGTTTGCAGGCCCCAAGGGGTCGTCGCATTAAGGCGCAGGTGTAATGCCAGCCGGGCAACGTAATTGTAATATGACAAACCCGCATTAATTTAGCCAAGATGAAAAAAAAATATATATATATAACCAAAGTCGAAACAGAGGCAAAAACCTGAAGCTGCAGCCGCAATGCAATTACTGCAGCCATTTAATGATCGGCCCGGGGTCCGGCTGCGGCCAGAGCTGGCCGCAAGATTAATGGTTCATTCAAGAATTCGATTTTCAGACAAGCCAGACAACGAGCTGCCAGCAACAAGCGGCCAAAACAACAACCACAACAACAACAACAACAACAACAGGTTCATAATAATAATTTTTTGGCAAGTTTTTAGGCGGCTGCAAAATATTAAATCAAAAGGCTACAAAATATGAAAAGTGAACTGCAAATAGTCGAAGTCGAAATACTCTTGCCGACACATAATGTGCGTTAGATAAATATAATCATAGAAAGAATTAAGAAAACAGACAAATGTATCATTATATCCACACAGAGTCCAATCCCAAGCATTTTACGCCTAAGTAAAGTCGACCTACAAGGTATGAGAAAACTAGGTTGCCTTGATTCAAGTTTAAAATTCTTATATTAGGTATGACTAATATCTAAAATTGAACTTTAGATAAATATAGTTATGAAAAAAATTAAGGAATCAAGTACAGTACGGATTAATGAATAATTACTTATATTCACGCAAATCCCAATCCCAAGCATTTTACGCCCAAGTAAAGTCGACCTACAAAGTATGAGAAGAGTAGGCTGCCTTGATTCAAGCTTAAAATTCTTATTTTAGGTATTGACTAATATCTAAAATTGAGCCAAGTGTAGACTAGCAGATGTGTAACTATATTCACGCAGTTTCTAAACCCAAACATTTTATGCTTCACTTAAGTAGAGTCGACTTTTAAAGTATGTTAAGACCAGACTGGCTTGATTCAAGTATAACATTTTTATTTTAAGTATGACATTTAACAGACAAACATCAAAAATGGAATCAAGTATTTATAGCCTTATCGATCTGAAACTAAAACGAAGTCAAGTTTTAATGTAACTCTTATTTGTTCTTAGTTTAAGATATATTCAATCTTAACTATTCTTAAATTAAGCCCAAACTGTTTTTAAAACAATCAAAGAATAGGGAACAGAATAGGGTTCTCTTTAGACCGATAAGTTTGATTACCTTCAGTTAGGGTATATCCACAGCTCGCATGTTACGCTGCGGGGCGTTGCAACAACAACAACAACAACAACAACAGCAACTTGTACAATTGGTGGCAACGTCAGAGCAGCGCCTGGCAGTCTCAGACATGTTGACACCAGCCGAGGCAACGAGCTGGCCGCCATTTGGCTGGGCTTGGCCGGCAAATGATATTTTTAACAACTGTTTGCCAGTGTTCGAAAATAATTGTTTAAATGTCATAAAAATAGTTGCAGAGGCAGCGAAACAGAAAACCCGCTGAAATCCACAAACAAAAGGCGACTAAAAACGCGCCAAATGCACGCGATTTGGCTGCAACTACATTTGTCCTTTACAATAAAATGTAAGAAAACATTATTATGCAGAAGTAATTGCAATTTAATTAAAATAAGCAGCTGGCAAAACAAGGCTCTTGCTAATGAAAACCTGTTGAAACGTGCATCAATAGCGCGCGTCTATTGTCGCTTGTGAATCGCGCACAAAACGCCCACTGCTGCTTGTTGTGTGTGCATTTGCATTTAATGGAAATTGCCTGTTACCCCTTTTCCCCTGATCCCCTTAAAGTTGGGCACCCCGCTTGGCTTTTTGGCTGCCGCCATTTGCCATTTTGGGGCCATTGTGTGTTGGCCGCGTTTCGAGCGCGTATTATGGGCTTCTGGGCGGAAGCGGGGCGGAGGGCCGCCTGCAATCTGAGTAGTACCCCATGCCGTACCCGTACCCCGACCCCCCTCGCTGCACTCCTAATCGCACTCGTACTCGTGCATTCTGTGCATTTGTTTTTTATGAGAATTACTTGCGTTTAGCTTGGTAATTTATGCACTCGACTCCGACTCGCTGGTTGTATCAAATT